GCGGCGTCCCGGGAGGGGTGAGGGGTCGGTGCCCGGCCCGCGGCTCGCCGGAGCGCCCGTCCTTTCGGGCGTGCACGCCGGGAGAGCCGCTCCGGACCGCCCCCTCCCCCGCCGGTATCGCCCGTCGGTCGGGGGCTTGTCCCGGCGTTCCGCGAGTTCCTGGGAAACGCAACCTGCCTCTGACAGGGAATCCCAGAATGGTTTGGGTTAGAGGGGGCCTTAAAGCTCATCTCCTTCCAACCCTCCCCGCCATGGGCAGGGACATCTTCCAGGTGCAGGACGACTATCCCAGGGAGCTCCAAGCTCTGTCCAACCTGGCCTTGGACGCTTCCAGGAATGGGGCAGCCACAGCTTCTCTGGGCAACCTGTGCCAGTACCTCACTGCTATCACAGAGAATAATTTCTTGTATCAAATCAAAACCTTCCCTGTCTCAGTTTAAAGCTGTTCCCTCTTGTCCTGTCACTCCATGTCCTTGTCCCTCTCCAGTTCCCTTGAAGCCCCTTTAGGTACTGAGCAAACTCTGGGATTGCTTGATCGGCCTCTCTCTCTTTCACAGGTTATCAGGAAGGATTGGCAGAAAGTCTGTGCTAGCACACGGCATGAATTCAGCCCATGGCCTGGATCTCACCTCTGTTACTAATAACTTGGGCTGGGAAAATTCTGACACACACCAGTGACATCTGGGCGAAAGGTGACTCTCTAGGGACGTTTAGTTTTTGCCGTCGATCTGGATCAGCCTTTAATTTCAGGATTTATTTGTGAACTGCCATAGTAGCTGTCACAGTGGTGGTGAAATCATAAAGCTAGCAGCACAATACAGCAAGCCCTTAAGATTGTGTTTGATCTCTGGGAGCTGAAAGTGCTGAATAAAATTTTCACACAACCTAAGCTACGTTTTGGATCAGTTGTGTTAAGATTGATGTTCTTCTAACTGAGCCCGTTTTTCTATTTTAATATTTAAATAGAGACTTATTTGAAAAGACAATATATTTTTTAAAGGAAAAAAAATGATCAAGGATGAACATGCATCAGCGCATCATTTTTTACTAGATTGCTGGACAAAACTACTGTGTAAAATAGTGGGTAGGGTATGAAGAAAGCGTTTTGTATACATATTGCATTGGGGTTTTTATATTATAAAATTACAAATAGCTAAGAAAATAGTGTAGCCTTCATTAGTAATTTTGCAGTATTATATGCAAAATGGGTTACAGTTTTTACTGTTGGATCCTGAAGAAGTAATGTTTCAGTGAGAGGGGCGTGCAGCTTGGTGTACCTGAGGTAATCCAAGATCACATGAAACTATTTTTTATATGAAAAGGCAAGAAAATGCACATTCAGGACTGACTTAATTAAAGCTCTAGCATTTAGCGATGGAAAGCCCACAGATAAACTTCCCTCTAGGTCTGGTTTCAGACCAAAAAAGGAGCAGGATCCAAGAGGATGGGAGTCCTCCCCTGAAAAAAGCAATGACAGAAATGCATGTAAATAACAAAGTACAGGTCGTAATAAATAAATTGCCAACAATAAAGAAGGAAAACTTGGATGACTATGATGAAACTCCAGTGGAGGCTGATGGGGAAGCTGCCAAGCCAAACAGTGCTTCACTTTCTGAGCCTTTGAGTTTAAATCCAGGTTTGAAACACACGTTGGCACAGTTCCACCTAAGCAGCCAGAGTTCGCTGGGTGGACCTGCAGCTTTTTCAGCTCGGTATTCCCAGGAAAGTATGTCACCCACTGTCTTCCTGCCTCTGCCATCACCACAAATCCTCTCTGGTCCGCTGCTCATCCCTCCAGACAGCTCCACAGAACTCACCCAGACTCTGCTGGAGGGGGAATCCATTTCTTGTTTTAAAGTCGGAGGAGAAAAAAGACTTTGCTTGCCTCAAGTGTTGAATTCGGTTCTCCGAGACTTTTCCTTGCAGCAGATCAACACGGTGTGTGATGAGCTCTATATCTACTGCTCAAGGTGCACTTCTGACCAGCTTCACATCCTGAAGGTTTTGGGAATTCTTCCATTCAACGCTCCGTCCTGTGGGCTCATTACGCTGACAGACGCTCAGAGACTATGCAATGCTTTACTGCGCCCTCGCACTTTTCCCCAAAGTGGCAGTTTCCTCCCTGGCAAGAATACCTTGGCCCAGCTGAAAGAGACTGGCAGTGCCTTCGAAGTAGAGCATGAATGCCTGGGCAAGTGCCAGGGCTTGTTTGCACCTCAGTTCTACCTTGCCCCGGATGACCCGTGTATCCAGTGCTTGGAATGCTACGGGATGTTCTCACCCCAGACCTTCGTGATGCATTCACACCGATCCCCAGACAAGAGGACCTGCCACTGGGGGTTTGAGTCGGCCAAGTGGCACTGCTACCTGCACATTAACCAAAAATACCTGGGCACATCAGAGGAGAGAGAGCTGAAGCATCTCTTGGAGGAAATGAAGGAGAAATTCAGCGAGAAAAATCAGAAAAGAGCTCGGTCCAAAGTAAGTTCACCCGATCTTGTAAAACTCCCAGATCTCTCTGCTCACACGTAAATACTTGTTTTAGAAGCGCATTACTTGGCTTCTCTAAGTGGGAATACTTGTCACATCAAGCCTAAGTTAAATTTGTGAGAGCTTCACCATGGAAATAACATTTCTCATTAAGAGGGGTGGTAATTTCTTTCCTCTTTGGGCTGCAAGTAACCATTTGACTGGCTTGGCTTTGTTGGTTCTTGTTCTGCCTAAGGTATACAGACTGGAAAATTTAGGCTATTGTGAAAATTTTCTTTCTCCCATTTGACCTTTGGGTAGGTTTTACACAGTGTGTGCTGCAGCAGCTGAGCAAAGCAAAAAGGAGCTTGAAAATCAAGTACTACAAATGAATTCTTAATTTGTTATTTGTACTCCAGCATGCACACGTGGGCTGGATGGCAACCTGGCTTGCTGGCCACCCATCTCATGACTTGTGTGCAGGGTAATGGTGCTTTGCTCAATGGCTATTTAAAAGCCCAAAGTCTGCTTGTTCAGCAAGAGCTTTCTGTTTAAACCACTTGTGCAGTGAAATATGCCAAAAAGAGGGGGTTTTAAGCAGCCCAAGTAATGAGCTGTAGGCCGGTATCTTGACAATAGTTAATAATAGACATCTTATTTTTTCCTAAAATACTGCTGCAAGTCAGTGCTGTGGTTCCAAAATACAGAGCTTATTTGTCCCTTGGAGAGCTTCTACTTTAAACAATAGGACAAGCAGCAGAGAAACATTAATATCATAGATGTTCCCATTCATAGAAAGGCCACTTTCGGGATATAATTTGAACTTCAGTAGGTTTTTAATGGCTTCTGCCCCATGACTTTTTCTTTTCAGTGTATTCATTGTTTCTGTGTGTGTTTAATGGCTGCTGGTTTGATGATAAATCCATGTTGCCTGTTGGATGTTTTGTGGTGGATTTCAAAATAGCAGCAAGAGCAGCGCAGATGGTTGAGCCCAAAAAGGGGTGCTATGAGCTGACACCTTTCAGCAGAAATTTCTGAAAAGTTGGTGTTGCAGGAAGGCTGACTGTAGTAACAGGTATTGTTACAGTGGTGCCAGTCTGCAGGAAGAGATTTTACCAGCAGATTCCCATGGAAGTCTGCAGTATGGCATGCTTCCACATGCTGAATTTGAAGATGCAGTCTCCTAGCAAAGAGACTTCGCTTTTCAACTGATAAAGACATGTCAGTCTTTATTCTTGCGATGCCAGTGTGGGAAATGAATTACAGCATGGTGGATGCATCGGTGGAAATAGTCTTCCATGTTCACACCTATAAATGCTGCTTCTCTTCCCACAGCAGCAGATTTCAGACAATGAGATCTTTCAGTTTCATGTGCAAAGATGAAAAAAACCCAGCTGAAATTAGCAGTGGCAGTAATTTGGACTGGACTGGTGCAAATGAAATTGTAAAACTTCCTGCAGTCTTCTGTTGCAGACCTGTGTAGTTCTGTCTTACAAAGCAACGTGTGAAACCAGAGTCAGAAGCTGTGAAAACCTGAACAAAATACAATGGTGGGGGAGGTTTTGGGGGTTTTTCTATTCTGTGGATATTCATCTGGGAAGTACAAAAGAGTAAAAGCATTTAGGAGGGCAGTGTTGGAGTATGGTTTCCCTTGCCTTGTCCTGGGGGAGCTTAGGCTGCTTCAGTTGTCTTTTCACAGAATCACAGAATGCTTTAGGGTAGAAGGGACCTTAAAGATCATCTCATTCCACTCCCCTGCCCTGTACAGGGACACCTTTCACTAGACCAGATTGCTCACAGCTCCATCCAGCCTGACCTTGAACACCTCCAGGGATGGAGCAGCCACAACTTCTTTTCCTCATTTCTGTGTTGTGGGAGAGGTATCAGGTACAACACGTAGCCATTCCCTTTCCTTACAGTGCTAGGGGAATTTATCAGCAGGATGTTCTGTTTGCTGTTCTGTCACCTCCTCACCACCTTTGCTGAGTCAGTCCTCAGAAGTGCTGACACATCTTAGTGGTTATCTTGGAGGGCCTAGGAAGAACAGTTGCCCTTGACTAGGTCTTTCCCTCACCTAGTAATAAAGAATTAATTAAGTCACATAGTCTTTGGAGCATCCTGGATCCCATTCTTTGCCTTTCTACTTAACATTTCACTCTGAGTTTATTCACTTCACAGTGCAAATACGCTTTAGTTTCAATATTTTAAGAGCAAAGTACTCTTGAGATTAATTCCTTTCTGTTCTTTGTGCTAATAAGAAAGCTATAAGCTGCGTGCTTGACTGTCATAATTTTCTGTGGAGTTCTAGACTGCAGTGCAACATCCACCTGCTCTTCATGGAACAGCTGTCACCGAGTCTCTGCTGATTCCTGTGCTGACAGATCCTTGTTCCCTTTGACTTTGCGACAGTTTCTCATCATCTCTGCACTAGGACTTCGTTTTGCTTCTCAGGCTGATTCCTTGAGCTGGTCACAGTGCGTGGGGGAAATCTCACAGTGTGGGGGGTTAACATTTCTCCTGAGGGTTTTATAAATCCAGTCTCTGCTAAAACTACTGGCTTAATTGATTACACTGGAACCGTTACTTACCTCTATGTTTTTTCCTTAAAGAACAGTTTGTCCAACTAGCCTTGAAGGAAAACAAGTCACTTTTCATGTAACCCTTTTAAACAGTTTGAGTAGAAGTAATTCAATTCAACTTGTTGTGTTTACGGAATTATTTAAGAGCATATAAAACAAAAAAATTGTTGGGTAATGAAATAGCCGTAGAGATTTATATTGAAATAGATGCCTTATTTCATTTACTTGAACCGTGAGGGAAGAATCCTGTTAGAAAAAGACTTCGTTTATTTATGGTAACATTTCATTTTCTTTCCTAACTGAAAATTTGATTGCATGCTATGAAATTCATTTGCAAGATTCACACTAATGGGTAGACAGTAAATTCAGTTTACATTTGAAACAGGTAAAAAAAAGGGAAAAATCTGACCTAGTAATTTGAAGATAGAGATGACCTGATAATTTCATATGTAAATATATAAGCATGTTAAAATGTGAGTCCTAAAATATGGACAAATGTGATCTGAAGCTAAAATCAGATCACTGCATACTAGCTGCAATGTTGGTAGATTATATGTGATTACTTAAATTATTAGAATGATTTGAGTAAGTAGAAAAAACTTGACAAGTGTCAGGATGAGGCCATTTTTCTAGAGATTGTTTGAATCTTTTTTATTTAAAGCCTTTTTATGAATTTACAACTCCAGATCTTCTCTTCCTTGTGTTCCATGTCTGTGTTGGAAATGGTTTGAGGAGCTGCAGGGGTGGAGTTGAATTTCAGTTTCACTGGGGAGCTGAGTTTTGGTCAGGGTGGGGTTGGTGGGGTGGTGCTGGATTGTGCAGACCATGGCTCAGGTCACACCGGTCTCACTGGGGGTCTCCCACTGCCAGGGATGAAGCTCTCTAAAAGTTTATTCCATAGTGTGTAAATACAAAACTTTTCTGATAATATAGCACCTAAGACGTGATAATATAGCACCTAAGATGTTGTGAAGATATTAGAGCACTACATAAAAGTTTCAATACAGGATTGTTAAACTTTTTTAGCTTTATAAGCTGTTCTTTAATTGAGCAGCTTGTCGAAGACATTGGGTCTGGCTGGAATGGTGTTGACTTACTTTGTAGCAGCCTTTATAGTGCTGTGCTTTGGATTTGTGGCTAAAACTGTGGCTAACATACCAGTGTTCTGGCTACTGAAATGAAAACTGGGATAGAAGGAGGAGAAAGAGGGTTTGGCATCCAAGGTGGAGGTTGTTTGAGGGTGGTTGGGCAGTTGTCTAAGGGAGGGACTGAGCCATGCCCTTTGCTTCACTTGTGTTTTTCCTTCACCTCTTAAACCAACTTTATCTTGATCCAGGAGCTTTCTTGCTCTTTTCCCTTCCATGCCCTGGGGATGGTGTTGAGGGAGCTGCTCTCTGGGTGCTTGGCAGCTCCCTGGGGTCAGCCAACCACACCCTACCCAAAACCCCACATCCCAGGGCTGTTCTAATACAGTGAAATTACAAATCAATTTCCTAGCCACCAGAATATTGTAAATATATGGTGAGACACCTTTCACTTGAAATTAAGAGCAACTTCACAGGGGAGTATGAAGTATCACCAGGAGTTTTGAGTAAAGAGTAATTCTGAAAACATTTCTTGAGATGCACAGAGCAAGAATTGCTTTCCAAATGCAAAATACACAGAAGTTTTTAAGATTATATATTCTGATGCACTTGAGTTAATTTTGTTTGCTACTGCAGAGGAATTGGCATTTTCATGTTACTGGGAGCAGCTTTACCTGGTGGTGTAATAAAAAATTGTGATGACTGAGGAAAGTTCTGTCTCTGGAACACCAGCACAGTGTTCCATTTAATTTTGAATTAAAGTATCTGGCAGGTGCTTCCTTTATATAGACACATTATTATAAAAAGCTCCTACAGCCTTTTGGGAATCCTAGTTTCTGCTTTCTGTTTCTCCCAAGCTTGTTTAGTAGAGTTCTGGAAACTGAGCAGTGCTTTTAGATAGGTCTGTAAAGAGATTTTCCTTCAATTTCGTTGTTATTTTGCCCACAGTGGTAAATTTGAGATCAGAGAAAATTCTGTGGCTTGCATCATCCTGCCCCTCTGCCAAAGACACCCCATTTCCTGGTACCTCAGTTTCTATTGTATTAATGATGTAAATTGTTAATGTATTAATGGTGTAAATGCTGTTTCTCTGAGGAGTGTTTATGAAAATATAAATAACCTGTATCCATGTTTCAATTGCCAATTTATTTTCTTTCCTTTAGGCAGAGCCACAGCAGAATCTGGAATTACCGCAGTGGTATCCAGTTATAAAGCAAGAAACAGAAACTGATCCTCAACCACCTTCCTTTTTCCACCCCAGGTAAGTGAGTTTCCTACGTAGAACTGTAAGCACTGTCAAGTATTCAAATACTTTTGGCTGTTTAGGGATAATTCAAACTGAAAAAAAATGTATTTGCAACCTGAACTGTTAGGAAAATTCTTAAGGTATCACACAGGAATGATTTAACCCTAAATTTTTATGCATTTCTTAGTGTAAATACTAATGAACTGCTTATGAGTGTTTTTTAGTATAGGACTCAAGACCTGTGGGTGTTCTTCAGCAGGCAATACAATTGAAATGTAATTAAAATTTTCCCTTTCTTAGTAGAAGTGACAGAGGTAACTTTTGATCTTTCATATTGTAATATAATGCATGCATGTGGAAAGCTGCACAAGGCCTGTTTACCACGAGGACAACTTAATTTCCTTCCAGAAAAGATATCCAAGAGGTGTTTGAAGGATTTCTTCCACAGTGGGACAAGGGCTGCAGCTGAATTGTCTGTGGACTGGTTCCTGGTTTTAGAAACCAAATGCATTTCCTTGACTCCTTACCCAGTTTGTCACCTGCAGCAGTGTAGGAAACAATTATTCTTGCTGTTCCTCTTGCCCTCACCCCCTGTGGCTGCAAAGGTCCCGAATTTGGGTCAGAGCAGACCCTTTTTGTTGCACACACATCACACTGGTTCCCACGCAGAGAAGGGAGTGGAGGAATTTCTGTGATGGGCCCTCATGTTCTGTTCCTGCCAGTGCCTTCCTTCAGAGCCAGGAGAAAGGGAAGTGTTGAAGACAGCGGCACTGGTGATCTTGGCACTGAGCTGAACACACCTGGGGCTCTCTTCCCTCTGCAGTGGTGAGGTGAGGGTGGGACACGGGTGCTCCCAGGAGTCCAGGAGCTGTGAAAATCCAAACGAGCAGCTCAGTGTACTTGGGAAGGAGAGTCCAGGACTGTCAGAACACAGCTTTGCTACTTGAGTGAGGTGCTCATTCCCACTTCACTGCTCATCTCCCCATCTTCCATTGCTAATATAAGGATTATGAAAATGCTGGAGAGTCTGGATTCAGTGGAATTCTAATATCACTCTTAGCATCTAAATAAAGTCTTCATATGATTTTCTGTAATTTTTTTAATCAGCCATGTTTGTAAAATCTAATTGTTTGATAGCCTCAAAACCTTATCAAGATAATCTACTCAGTAAAGATTGAGTGGGTTGTTAGGCTTCCCTTTTGCATAGGAAAAATTAAAAAAAGATGTGCTTATATTTCATTGATGCTTTCACAGTTTGAACTCATGTTAAATTAAACTTGCTGCTCTCAACCAGCCATCATTTATTATGTCTTACCTTTCACTATGAATTTTACTCTTCTTCTGTTACAGTTACTACCTTTATATGTGTGATAAAGTGGTTGCCCCAAATGTGTCTCTTGCATCTCAATATAAGGATGTTGCAAAAACAACAGTAAAAGCTTCAGAAGTTAATAAATCCTCACCTGGGCAGTCAGAGAAGAAACTCAGTAGTGGAAAGCACAAAAAAGCTGCCTCCTATCCAGAGCTTTCTCTTGAAGAACAGGAAAAAATTGACTTGAAAACTGGTGTGGAGCAGCCAAATAAACGTTTAGGTGAGTAGTGCAAATTATAATGAAGTCTTTGATTTTTATACAACAGAATTTTGGAAAACTTTACACTGAGCTAGAATTTTGTGATGTTATTTCAGGTTTCCAAAAATTCCCTCCACCTTTTTGTAATCTTGGTTTTCTTTTCATTTTTTCCACTCTGGAATTTGAACTTTCTGTGATTATTGCTCTCTGTTTTCTCCTGTGTAGATCCTCCTGTGTCAGCTCATTCTGCGAGAGGTGGAAAATCTGAGCGTGTTTCTTCCAAAATCCCCAGAGACTCTGGCCGTGGTGAGGGAGGTGCTGATGCACGAACCTTGTCCCCCACCCTCATGAAAGACATCAGCTGTGAGGATGACAAGGGAAGGATCATGGAAGAAGTAATGAAAACCTACATCAAGCAGCAGGAAAAGCTAAACACGATTTTGCGAAGGAAGCAGCAGCTCCAAATGGTACAGTGGCAGTCTGAGTGCATTTCCCCCTGGGCAGCAGGGAGCTGGTGTGGGCTTGCTGGCTCCACAGTCAACATCACAGATTGTATCATGTAGAAACACCAAAGCACACAGATCATCTTTCCCTCAGCTTAAATCCAGACACCAAATCTTCGATATCCCTCATGCTCATGAGTTTTGAGCCCACTAATTAGCGGTGTCTCTTCAATATGTAGCTGCTGGGTCCAAGCAGCTCCTGCTTTTGCTGTATCCTCTAAAATTTCTCAGTTTTCAGGTTTTTAAAGATGCAGCTATCAGTATTCTAAGAATGGTCTTACCACTGCCCTGTATAAAAAAGACCACCTTCCTACACTCAGTTGTTAAGGCATGCTTTTAGGGATTTTATTTTTAGTCTTTTCTTTAATAATGGATGATTTTAGAGGCTGGTGTTCATTTGTGACATTTCTGTTTTCTGAATTCAGTTATATACTGTCTTTGCTTCTTTCATCCATGAAACAGACCTAATATTTTAATTTATTTTATTTTAATTTAAATGTTAATCTCAGGATCTAGGAGCTCAGGTAGGGCCCTAGAGCTGCTGCTTTAAATTTGTTCTGCTGTGTTTACCTCTTTGGAGATAAAGCTTGGAGATAAGTTTTAAAAAAATACAAGTTTAAGAATATCAAAATGTCAGTGGACAAAGAAATCAAACAATTTTGTTTTCTGATGCTACACTTCTTGCATGTTTACTGTTTCAAAGTATATTTTAGTGAATCAGTGCTGCTGCTTCCTGAGGTTCACTGCTGGAAGTGCAAATTTGTTTCTGGAAGCTTCATGTACTTGGAAATATAATTCCTTAAAAATTAGATGGATATTACAGAATTCCATGCTGTCATTGCTAAGTAGATAAAAGGCATTATCAGGCTGTTGTTATTGGTAGTTACAAATGGTCTTTTTGGCCTCATTGGTTCCAGAAACACCATTAAATTCAAGTTTTTTGCTTCTCTGGTGTTAGAAGGAAGGAGTATGTGATCTTGATCTTTCTTTGCAGGAAGTGGAAATGTTAAGCAACTCTAAAGCTATGAAGGAACTGACTGAAGAGCAGCAGAATTTACAAAAAGAACTCGAATGTTTGCAAGCAGAGCATGCACAAAGAATGGAAGAATTTTATTTTGAGCAGAGAGACTTGGAGAAGAAACTGGACCAAGTCTTGAAACAAAAATGTAGCTGTGACTCCAATTTGGAAAAAGATAAGGAAGCTGAATATGCAGCACAGGTGAGATGGGAAGGTTTATTTCAAACAAACCACGTTTAGTGTATCAGGAAATTGTGAAGTTACTGTTCAGCCACCCTAAGGTTTCGTTTTCTCTGTGTGTTCTGACACCACAGACAGATACCAAAATAGGTCAGTGACAGCAATATTTATTTCCCTGTTCTTGATTGAAACTGAGGTAGACTGTAACTTACAGAAACATATGATATTATTGATGAAATATTAAACTTAAACATGAGGTCTGTTACATCCTCATTTAAAACAAATTATGTTTTTAATGTATTTGGGCTTGTCCATGATAAACATTATCATTATTTTATGTAAAAAAAAATAAAAAAATCCAAACCTCTGAACCATCTTTTTGTCAGATCAGCAGCTTACCTTGCTGCTTCTCATGCTTCTTGGTGGTAGAACCTTCTGCAGTATCTGATGAGTCTCTTCTGGGCTCTACCAAAACATTTGGCCAAGAGTTTTCTTGGAAATGAAAATCGTATTAGTGTTTCTCTTGCCTCTTGGAAAACCTATGGAATTGTTTTTTCCTCTCACTTTCTTTTTAGCTTTTACTATTGCTTCTTTATGTTGGAGGATATTCCAATGGGAAAAAAATACAGCTAATGACAGAGGGAACCTTGGAATGCCCCTTTTAAAAATCAGCTGTAGTTATGATTAGTTTTTTTTATTTTGCACCTTATCTCAGAAAACTAATCTTAACAGATTCATTTTTAAAGTGAACAAAATCCAAAACTTGAGCTCAGTAAAGCTCTGTGCTCCTTCATTCTCAGCTGTGAACGGTGTATTTCCTGTTCTGACTGACTCAAACTGAGAAACAGGTAGTACTTGAGAGACAGGTTTTGGTATTTTTGGTGAGTAGGGCAGAGACTCACATCATAAATCCTTCTCGTGAATTTAATTTTGTGACATCCCACTCCACTGATTCCTGGCCTCTGCTGCCAGAAATAATCCTCTCTGACTAAGGCCTGATTTACTAAACATCTGGTACAAGCCCTATTAGTGCAAGTAACAACGTGTTCTAATTTATGGAGATCATCATGTACACCACGTTTTATAGGGCTTGTGCAGCTTACTTCCTTTGGGGTGGATTGTTCCCCAAGGAGATTGGTTGTGTGTTTCTTTTGAGGTTAGACTTTGAAAGCTACATACATTCCTTGTGTAAAAGTTTACTCTGTTGTTACCTCTGTGGTAGATCTATTCACAATTTATAATTCAAACCTATTTTTTTCCCATTTATCACATCTTGCAGTAGATTCTGGTTCCAAGAAACACCAGAGTTAAGCAGAGGTCTTGGGAACAGGGAACTTCCCCAAGCTGTGTATACAGCATTTAAAAAAAGCCCTAACCTGATGTGTTCTCAAAGCAGTTGCCCAGGCTGCCTTTTCTGTCTGAGAACTCAGGACTGAGAGGAGCTCTCCTTGTGCATTAAACAGAATGAAGAATTTGATATTTGCAACTTGCTTAAAGTCTCTTCTTCTTTCTAGGCCTGTCTGAACACGCACTGTCTTGTCCCCCTTTTTGACTTTATTGAAATAGTTGCTTCACCCTGTCAGTCACCAGGCAGAATAACCAGTCCTGGAGCCTTTCCTTAGAGCTGGAAATCAAAGCTAGAGACGTGTTGCAGCATGCAGGCAGTGGGCACTGTTGCACTGCAGCACTTCACTGCATCACTTGTGCAGTCAGGACTTGCATTAACAGCCAGTTGTTGTCTAAGAACTGCTGAAGTATTTCTGATTAAAAAAGCAGGGATGAAATGTGTTTCTCTAAAACCAGCACAGCCATTCCTTCACACAGTACATTCTGTAGTGGTTGGTGAACTCCAGAAATACCCAGTATGTTCCTGCTCTTTCCTTCTCATGAGCTGTTTTCCTAATTCTCAGTGAGATGGATGCTGTACATCAGTCAGATACCTATCATTATAAAGGCAGATGGATTTTTTTAGATGGAGTGAGGTCTTTTGGTAAGAAATAACCCCATAAATAATGGGAGAGAGGATAGCTGGTTTCCAGTCTCCTCCCTGTTTTAACTGCTGATAGTATACTATGTGCAATAAGGAACTTACCCACACTTGAAAAGAAGTTTCCAGATGTCACTGCAAATAATTTTGGTGACATTCTAGCAAGTTTGAGCCTTTGTATTCCAAAGAGGAAAAGAAAATACTTCATTTCTGTGTTTAAACACAAGCTATATCATGAAAACATTTGTGTGGACTCAGGTTTATATTTGAACACACACACACAGATGGTTATGTTCAAGATTTTCTGAATATTTCATCTATACTAAGGAATGTCAGAAAACAGTGTTGGCAGTTTGGTTTCTTCTAGAAATATGTTCAGGCTTTGAAATAAAGAAGTAATATTTTGTCAGGTAAGAGAAATGGACCGAGGAGATGAAAAAATGCAGTTTGGTCTAGGATTTGTGACACAACTGATGCAGACATAGCACAGTTTTCCCTAACAGAGATTCTGTGTGTTATTGACAATCTGGTGTGACAGTTCATATAGCTACAACTTACATGCATTTAAAATTAGATTTTCTATTTTTTTAAATTATAGCATGGTGTTTATGCAACTTTGCATATTGCTAATGGTGTAGCAGGTAAATGCATAATTCTTGATAACTGCATAATTCTGGTGGACTGAAATACTTGGATGCATAGAGTGGCCATCTGTAACCCTTTTATGTTTTAAATAAGTTTGCTAAAATTGACTCTATCTCTCTTCTTTCAAAGCTGGCAGAGTTGAGGCAGAGGTTGGATCATGCAGAGGCAGATAGACAAGAGCTCCAGGATGAACTGAGACAGGAACGAGAGGCCCGGGAAAAGCTGGAGATGATGATAAAAGAATTGAAGCTACAGATCCTGAAATCTTCAAAAAATGGGAAAGGAAAATAGAAATTGGAAGAGGAAGCACGACTGTGTCCTTCAAACAGGGTGTTTTGGTTTTAACGATTGTGAACAATTTTTGTGTGTGCTGAGAAAAAGTTCTCTACAGATTTCTATTTCCCAGACAGGTCCAGTTGAAGATATACATAGATATAAATAAATAGAGATAGATAGACATTTTTAGATTTTCCTAGCAAATGAAAATCTGCATTGATTTGTACTGGTGTTTTTCTCAAACAGTGAAAAATACGAAACTCTTGATTTAGAGTGACCAGTTTCTGTCTATTTCTAATGCAGTCTTAAGGACTCTACACCTTTTAACATTGTCTGTAAAACATATATGGGTATCTTTATTTTGCTATCAATTGCACATCCAGTTATAAAAGTACATTAAGAATATCCTCAATTCTTCAAGGTCTTAAATAGTTTGGGTTTCAGTGAGAATTAAATATTCTTGAACTGAGGAAAGTAAAGGTAGCTTTTTGTCTGTAAGGCAGAGCTAAAAATTGCCACAACTGGTTGATGATTGAGTATCAAAAGTGATTTACCAGCATGAGTTTTTCCCATAATTTCATTGTGTGAAGTCAGCTGACCTTTTCAGTGTTGTCTATTTAACAACTCATTATCAATCTAAGGAGTGTTAGAGCCAGCACTTGCTTGCTCTGCTGGAAGAGGAAAACATTAGGGGTTGTTTTTTGTTTTGTTTTGGTTTTGTAAATTAAAAAAAATTGCAATTACAGTGGAATTTTGGGAAGCTAAAAATTCACAATTTTCTTCTGTTTTTTTTTTTTCTCTGTAGTACATATGAAAGAAACATTAATGAAAGGCTTAAAGGTGGGGCTTTTCCTTTCAGAAACTGAGAAAGCTTGACCTAACTGATTTTCAGATATTAATGCTTTCAAGAAAAATAACATTTATTAACGAATATGTATTAATTTCTTTAGTACCCTAAGCCTCCACACTTTGAGCTTCTTGCCAACTTGTGGATTTTTCTTTCATTACATAGAACAGGCCTTAACTGATGTTGTGATCATAGCTTAAAATATAAAATTCTGAGGTATGGCACTTTGAAAAATCATTTTGATAGTCTCTGTATTTGAATGGCATGGTAGGGTTACCATGAATTAAGAAAATACAGCATGTTTGTTAAGCTATAACATTGGGAAATGTGTAATTGTACAGAATTACTGTTTTATGTATATATATAATGTCTGAGTACTTCTGAAGTCTGGTTCCTAGTGGGTTAAATGCATGGCTAAAGTTGGATGAAGAAAAACTTTTTTGCACTTCTCTCCAAAAAACTGGATACAGCTGGTAGATATCAGCTGATCATGTCAGTGATAGGAATATTTTAGTAATTATAGTGTTTCATTATGTAATTTTAACTTGTGCTTTTAATTTCCAGTTTAAAGGTACTTAAGTTTAATATTCTCGTAATAATTCAGTTAATTTTGGATGAAAGCACTAGTAAAAACCTACTTTGGTTTTTTTTCCCCTTCAACTAGTAAAACTAAAAACTCTTGTTCTTTTTTTTTTTTCTCTGTTAATGCTATAACAAGACTGAATATCACAGAGAAAGATAAAATTGCACATATCTTTAAAATGAATGAGAAATGAGGTGGTAAATTAAATGTCATAGAGTCATAGGATGATTTTTTTAATAACTGTACAATTTTGTTTATGAGCTCTGTGTCATATTTACACTGACAAGTAAAGCAGGTTAGATGGAAAAAAGAATCAATTTTCTTTGTCAGTGTTGAGAATCATAGAATGGTTTGGGTTGGAAGGGATCTTAAAGATCATCTAGTTCCAGCCCCTGCCAGGAAAGACCAGGATTATATTTCTCTCTTCTTCAGGTCCCATCTCCAAATTTTTCCTGTGAGAAGAAAAACCAACAAAAAACCCCAAACAAACTGAAAAGGAAAAGGCCTGTCCTTGCAGCTTGGTTTGGAGGGAAAGGTGTGACTGAATGCTTCTGGCTGTGTGTGCACCTCTTGCTTTAAAAACACCACGAATGTTTTGTTGTCCACCCACCAGCGCCGTGCATACAGGGAGAGTAGGCAGGAGTATTGCTGGAGGTGTGCTGTCTGGGGAGCAGAGCTTGAGGCTGCCCAGGGGGATTGGCAGATCCTGTGTTGGATGAGCTGGGAAATGGGAAAGTTCCACCTGGCTGCTGCTAAAGGATGGAGAGAGTCCCTTTGTTGCTTCTCAGTGCTGCGGAGCAGGCTCGGGCTGTCTGTGTTGGTAAAGCTCGTTCTCACAGCTGCAGTCACTGATCCACTACAGGATTTATAGCTTAGCTGTTGAATGTTTGGAACCCTCCTGGGATTATTTTATTAGTAGGATAGTGAATATTCCGTTTGCATTCAGGTCTTGCCTGTGTTCTGTGCCTCCTGCTCAGCTGTCCCCCTTGGCCAGCGGTTGTTCAGCAGTGGCAGAGGAGGGCTGGTGTAGCCCAGGTTCCTTCAGCCAGCACTTGGGTCACTGCTGGAGGCTCTGAAAATGCTGGTGGCCATCCTTTGTACCAATATTTTCACTGTTGCAAGAACTCCAGCAGCTATAGGAAGTTTTACCAATTCCAGTTACAGATAAGGCCTCCTAATAGTTTCTGAACATCTGGCTGGTAAAGGAAATGGAACATTTATTAAAATGACCTTAAAAGTAGCTTTGTAAATATTCCATTTAGTTAATCTAAAGTTAGAATGCATTTTAAATTATTGTAATCCTTTAAAAATTCTTAAATACTACTTTCAGGCTCTTGACGTAACATAAACAATTTTCATATGTGTAGACAATTTTATACTGATTTTAAGTAATAATGTATACATAAATGTGCCATAGACCTTTGTGCGCTCACAGTCTCCAAAAGATAGTTTTTTAGTAAATTGTAAATAATGCTCTTAAGTTTTAGAGTAAATATATGTTGACCTTTTTTTTTGCTACCTTATCCTAATTCTATGGAATGGTTCCTTTTACAGCCTGACATAGGAACTTGGAATGCACACTTGAGGGCCCTCACTTAAGTGCACACTTAAAGGTAGAGACTAAATCAGTCATTAGGTCTTTGCTTTTAGTCATAGCTTGCTCACTTTATGTATTATTTGGTTTGCCTTCAGTCACTGCTTGTTGATCTTTTAAGGCAAGAAGTAATTTTCCCAGGTAGTTGTGACATGAAGCCTGTAGAACAAAGTCCTAAAATTGTCTGTAATTTGAAAGTTGCTTTATTAGACACCTACACCAAGATGGAAGTTGCCTAGTGCACCTTTTGAAATAAGTAGTCTTCAAGGTGAATGCCTAATTTGCTCCTATCCTTTAAAAAAGAGAACTTTAACATGCTTTGTATACTTTAATCAATAAAATATAAGAGCTTAGAGGGTAAAACTCTTGTAAATTTGGCAGTCTGGAAACACCCTCACTCACAGTGTAACCAGGTGTCCCTAAACGAGAGAGATTTTTATCTAAATCTCCAAACTTAGTTAAGTCTGTGTTTTAGTTTTTGTAAAACATATCATTCAGTTTGAGTATTTAGATGAATGTAGTTATGTTTCACATTCTTAAACTAATTTTATTCTATATTTAATATATTGATAGCTTAGGTGTAAAACCATCTGTACATAGTAAAGGCATAATGCAATTAGTGACATAGGAGAAGTTGGGTGGGAGCATAAAGCTACTGGTGGCCTGAAAAGAAATAAATCTTGGCCCGTATTTTAGAATTCACAATGTTTTATTCATACATTTTTGTTTTGTATTGGGGGAGGGGATAGCTAGAATGTGTTATGAAATTTTTGGAAACCTTTCCTAGCATTAGTTGGGAAGTTGCCCTTGAATTGCTGTCGTGGTCAGCTTCCTAGAATTCACTTGTTTGTAGAGTATATATTTTGATTGTCAGTAAAGATAACAACTTTGTATTTTTTCTGCACTTAATTAGTGTAATTAATCCACACAACAGAGTTTTCTATAACATGGTGAAGTGGACAAAAGATGTAATTTCTCCTACCTATTAATCTGTGCTTGCGATATTTCGATAACTTTATTTAAACCATTGATAGTAAGCAGCAGAAAGCTGCAAATTTCAACTTTCTTTTTGCTCATTACATTTGTAGTGTGAGTGCTCATTTGTTTTCTTTACAGAAAGTCCGTAGAATTTTCTATTTGCTGCTTATATCTATTTAAAAAATACAGTAATTTTTTAGCTTTTGTGAAAGCAGTTATTGCTTACAAATTGCACGATGATTTTATAGTGTGTCTCCATTACTTAGCAAATTGTTCTTTTCAGGATTAGTGGTTCAGTTGGAAAATGCTTGAAAAATGAGTTTTAAGCACTTCATCAAGCACAGCAAACACGGTATAAAATTTTGCTATTTGAAAATTAATTAAGTGTAACGATATCAATTGATTTTTTTTTCTTCTAAGAGATACCTCACTTAAAGGAAAGCACAGCTGTACTGTATTTAAACGAATTCTAGGAAATAATAAAAGGTTGGTCTGAATATTTCGTTGCCATCACGTTGCTTTCTGTGATTGACAGAACGTTTTTTGTGTTTTCATCCTCACTCTCTAAAGTATTTATTGCTGTTGACATGCCAGTATAATTCTCTCAAACGACAGAAAGTAGCTGCAAAACAACCCAGTCCGTGTTAGCTCAAGGCAACAGGTTGAGTGACTATTCTGAAACCATAGGAAAAACTATCAGTGCATTCAACAATTTTTAATACTTTGCCAATGATGTACAGTCTTATTGTCAGCATTGCTGTGGTTGCATTACATGACACACAAAACTGTCCTCTACCTCACGTGAGATTTAACAGATATTTTATATGGTTTTAGTAGACAAGATGCATCTATCTGGTCACTTAGTTTACAAATTTTGAATTATATTTATTGAAACATGACATACTGTGCTCTTAGCTTATACCTCAATTGTATTTTGTGCTGTTATCCATTTCCATGCCCTGTAAATACCTGTATAGATCGTGGACTCAAAAACAAATAAAGAACTGTAATGTCACAACACTTGTCTCTGTCTTATTTTTGAACACTGACTTCTAAACTTGGCTCTTTGAAGGTGTTTAACTCGGTACTTTTCTAAGGACAGAGCCTTCCTTGCTTTGATTACAGTAAATTAAATTCTGATTATACTGAAACTTGTTAGCAGAGCTCCCACAGCCTGCAGCAGATCCCCAGTTCTCTAAAAGATATTTTAAGCAAAATCTACAAGATCAAAGCTGTCTCTCCCCATGGATCCACTTTCTAAAGATCTTAAGATTCTGTAAAGGTATTGGCACCAAGCTTTCTATGTATGTTGGCGTAAATTTGGTGTTTATACCCAAAAATAGAACTTGCGTACTTGGCAAGTTCTCTGGTGCCCAGCTTTGTTGCTGCTTGACTGCTCAAGCAATGTGTAAGTTGTTCACAACTCTTCCATAGCTTAGTAATAAATTACATTAAAAACACACATTGCAAGATTAAATGCTGAGATTTTACAAAGTTCAAATCAGAAATGAGAATTTTACTTTATTTGCTGAAAAAATAGTTACTGCTGATGGTGAGTGGTTCTCAGGAGTTCTTTTTGTAAACCATGTGATTATATTACCTTAACATTTTTGTGTAGCATCAGGGAGATTAAATAGAAAAATCAGAGTAAGAGAAGGAAGGAGCAATGGAGGAGAAAAGAGGGAGCAGTTTCTAAGCTGCATGTTCTTCCACAAGTCTTTCATTTACATGGAATTTCCACCAC